AAAATTGTGAATTTTTTTTTTAAAAAAATCATCAATGAAAAGTCAGAAAAAATTACAAAAAATTAGACAAAATCACAAAGAATCAAGAAAAAATCACAAAATATCAAGAAAAACAGAAAAATCGGTGTACGCTAGAATTTATAGTGAAGGACGCCTCGCGACGTGCACACGAAGTGCATGCGAAGTACATACGAAGTACACACGAAGTGCATACGAAGTGCACACGAAGTGCACACGAAGTGCACACGATTGTCATGCAAACGTGACCTTATACTGAGGCGCTCGGTGGCGCTGCCTCCAGGCCTGGCGCTGCCCCCGGGTCAGGTCGTGGGATCGTGGGAGGTGAGCGGCTGCTCCTCGGGTAGCGGCGGCAACTCTCCGGGGCGCGACGTGAACTTTGGCTTTGCGGCACTAGGGTGCAGCTACGCCAAGGCGAGCACGGGGCAGGGCCTGGCTGGGGGCGCCGAGAGAGCAAAAAGCATCAAACGCCCAGGTTAACCCTGGCTGCACCATTAAGAAATGAGTAAATCTCGTGCATGTTCTCTGACAAGTAGCGTAACCGCTTTGCTGTTTGCCTTTTTATTTGTTTTGGGGAGCGATAAATGTTAGCACAGCTCATGATGCACGCGTTTCTGAACGGGACACGCCCGGGGAATGTTTTCTGTTTTTCGCCCCCGTAGTATCGAAAGCTTCCATTTTTTATTATTCATCATGATACTCTGGTCTGCTCTGATTCTACACACATAGGCAAATGCGCCCTGTCGCCAGAACCGTTTTTTTCCCCCCGCTCCCTCCGCAGGGCCGTGTACTCATCGGTCACGTGACTGATCGATTCGATCCCCCCGCCCTTCTCTCCGCAGAGGGGCTGTCATCGCGTCATCGGCCGCTTAATTCCATTTCCACAGCAATTAGCAATCTCACTCTTTATATTTCTTTTTGCGTTCCGCGCCGTACTGTTGACAGGGGAGGGAGGGGAGGGGGGGGGCAATCTCAACGAACCACAAGCGGAGAAAGGATTACACAAACTCTGCACGGCGAATCCTACCCGGGCGGGACGCTTTTAATTTTTTTTTAAAAGTGATCACTCCTCGCGAGAAAATTGTGAAATGAGATTGAGGTGACTCTCCTCCTGTCGTGTCGGCGACGGGCAGACACTAGCACCACCAGCACCAGGCCATCAGGCCATCAGGCCAGCGGGTCAGTCAGCGCAGAGCCACAGCGTGCAGCGGGCAGGGCAGCATAGGTTCGCCTCACCGCACACGTCCAGGTCTTCCCTTCCTTCCGAATCCCCCTCCCCTCCTCCTCCTCCTGCAGCACGTAACTTGCAGTGTGAGGCCTACTCACCTGCGTGGTTTAGCCGCTCTGCTCGGAGGACCAGCAAAGGGAGGGGAGGGAGGGGCGGTGACCGAGCGCGAGTGAGGCCTAAGTGCAGCGAATGTCTTGCCTTCCGTTAATTGCCTTCCTGACCTGGATGCGGGGCGCACGATGAGGCACTCGGACGGATGGCCGCGCGGATGGAGCGGGGCGGGCGGACGGCTGTTCGGCTGAGATGGCTGGGCTGGATGGATGAGAGGCAGGTCTTCCCTCCACCTCCTCCCTCCAGGCTGCTCCAGGCCGCCCGTCCCAAGCGCGTCCGGTCGGCACGGCCCACCCTGTGAGAAACGACACACCTTCAAAAAGTCTGGATCAATACCCTCTCGGTATCATTTCATTTCGACGGATGGGGATGGGCCGACTGAGGCAGCTGACTGACCCAAGTTACGGGTGGCTCCAGTTCGCTAGGAACAAAGCAGTCGTGATAACCCTTTTTGAAGATGACGTTGTAGATGTGTTTTAGTGCACTGTGAGCGGGCCTCGCACCTCGGCCGAAGAGGCAGTTCCCCCCCATTAGCTGTTTACTTTCACGAGGGACCCCGCGGCCCCCGAGTGAAACGAGGAAACGCCGGCGGTTGGTGCCCCCGGCCCGGCCAGGCCCGGCTCGCGCGGCAAAAAGGGTTAATTGTCCGGCGGTGGAGGTTGGTGGTGTCGATGGCGAGGGCCGGACGCGGCGGGCGAGCGGTAGTGCCGGGCCCGACTCGCGCGCCAAACGGGAAAAATCCACGGAGCTACGCGGCTTTCCCGCGGCCAATGCCGACGCTTCGATACCTCGCGGGGATTACATCACGAAAGCCCCCCACCGGGCGCCACACCGCCGCCGCCACCGCACCCGCGACCCGCGACCCGGCAAAGGCAAAGGCCAGGGTGGAGTGCGGGGTGGCTGAACGCCCTTCTCTTTCTCTCTTCACATTTCACTGATCAACAATTATTTTATTACGGCGGCACTTGCGCTTTATCATTAAAACTGAAATG